CCCCCCCCCAATTTGGGGTCTCCCTGCCATGGTGTACCCTGTTTGTGGGTCCCCCTCCTGGGATAAAGCCAGATCTTGCCCTAAATCTCCCAAATTCTGCCTCCTCCTGCTTCAAACTTCAGCCTTTTCTTCCTCCTTCTTGCTGCTGGGGTCTCCTCCTAGGGGGTGCACCCTGGGTTTGGAGTGACCGGGGGGGGGGGACAACTGCCTGTGCATGGGGCAGAGCTGCTGGTGCTGCAGGGATGGGGTGCTCAGGACCAGGGGGGGATGCAGGGGATTAAGGCAGTTTGTGGGACTGGAGTGTTACAAAGGATGGGGCACCATGTTCCCATGTCCCTTCCTGTCAGAGGGGGTCCAGGACCCATGAAGAGGGAAATCCCTGTGGGAGGTTTAGGGCAGTGACCCCTTGGGACGGGCTCATGAGGGTGCATGGGGACCTGTGCCTCCCTGCCAGGGTGGTTGAGAACCAATGGGGAGAAAAGGGGGTCCCTGCTTACCCCGGTGTTCCTGGCCTGGAGCGAGTGGGGGTGATGCCTCACAAGATCAGTCTCGGACCTGTTATTTAGGATGAGGGACCTCACACAGCCCCCCCTGGGGTCCCTTGGGTGCCGGACATGGGTGGCAAGGGCGCAAGGGTGGAGGACATGGGTGGTGCCCACTGTCCCCCCACTTTTTTTGGGGCAAACAGGCTTTGAACCCAGCCATCCCAGGCCCCCAGGACAGCAGGGTCCTCCTCAGGGAGGAGAGGGGGGCAGGCAGCTGCCCCGAAGCTCAGGAGGCTTTATCCTCTCCATGGAAGGAGTGAAATCTGGGGAGGGGGCTGCCACAGATGCAAAGAGTTTGGATGTGCCCTTGCTGCGTGGCAGAGGAGCTTCAAAGACCATTTTGGGGTGCAGCAGGATGTCCCCAGAGTCACCCTGGGGTCACGGTGCCCAGCTGAGCCTCCCTGTCCTTCCCCGCAGCCTGGAGGAGAACATGGATGAGAAGAACCGCACGGAGACCTGGCACCAAAGCCTCCAGGCGGTGCTCAGTGCCTTGAACCAGACGCTGCACG